GGACTGACCCATTGAGGGGTGGACAGGTGCAGTGGCTCAGTGCATTAAACACAAACCCCTGCCCCTGTGTGGTATCCCGCTGTCTTACCAGGTCTCTGACAGCCCCACAAATGTCTGAGAGAGCCAGTCCCTTGCAGAGAACCAGCACTTCTGCTTCAATCTCAACTCTGCTCAGTTAAGGTAAAAGTGACTGTGACTCCACCTTTAACCTTGTAACTGAGCTCTCTGACCTTCTCTTGCACAGATACCTCAGGCTGTCCAAGAATAACATCCGGACCCTGCTGAAGCTGTGCAGGGACGCAGGGATGGTCGTGGACATCCACCCCCACATGATTGAAAGGGAGATCGACTCCAGGAAGGTGTTCGGTGACCTGCACAATGTGGCCCTCTGAGGAGCTCCTCCCACCGCACCTTCAGCCTCCTGCGGGTTGGAGCCTTGGCCACTAGGTGCCATTCTCTGGCATGCTGCAAGCGTCCCTCAGACTCAGTGCCTCCCTCTTAGATAGTGACAATCAGAAAACAAGCCTTGACTGCATGGAGGCCTGTGCCGGTGTGAGGTTTGTCCTTGACAACGATTCCAAACCAACTTAGAAGAAACTGGGGTTTTTCCCTGACCCATAAGGAAGACTCTTTAGAAAAGGCTTCTTAGAAAAGAAGTCTCAATGGAGTAAGAAAATGGGGGCCCAGATCCCCCCAAGGGACTTCAGATAGGACAAAATGTTGGGGGGGCTGGTGAAGGACACACACACCCTCCACCCTGTGTGGAACTTGGCTGTGTGGGGAGCTGTGTGTGGAGTGGGGGTCTGATCGGGGACAGGGAGGGGAAGAGAGGCTAGTGACGGATGGAAGGCAGGAAGGGGACCTTTGCAACCACAGGCTCCTCAAGGGGGACCTGGGACCTTTCATAGATTGCAGGTGCCCCAATATCGACATGCTCAGGAACTTGCTGTTCATTTGAAGAAAAGAAGCTACAGAGGGCAAGAAACTTGCTCAAGGGGCACGGCTGGGATGAGGACAGCGTCCTCACCTCTGTCTCCTGCTCTGCCTTCTTGCCCAATGGAGACTTTAAGATCCTGCAGGACTGCTCAGAGACACAGCTCTCCCACTAGCCTGCTGGCCACCCCAGGTTACAAACCCGGCCCCTCTTGTCTCTGCAAGTGTTTCAAGCAGGTTCAGACCCCAACGACCCCATCTAGCCGCTGTGTGACTTCAGGCTAGTTACTTCACCTCTCTGTGCCTTTGTTTCCTGATCTGTAAAATGGTACTAATGATAGTACAGGGGGTGTCGTGAGCTGTAAATGGGTGCCTGCATGGGAAAGAAATGCAGAGCAGAGACCTCGCCCCACTAAAAGCTGCAGGGGCTATATGGGCTCTTTCTGGGGGTCCAGAGGGCTTTCCTGCCTAGACCTTATAGCCAGAAGGAGCCTTGCACTCAGCTTCATGGCTTTCTGGCCAAATGAGCCCATAGCAAGCCCCAAGATTCACAGTCAGCACCGAGAAAGGACAACCCCCAAGCCAGGGTCCCCCGGCAGACAGCACTGCCTGCAGTAAGCTCTAAACTAGTATTTGGTAAACTGAAATGAGCTCATGGACAGCACAAGTCTACTGCATTCTCTTAGAAGAGCTGTTGCCAGATACAGAAACGGACACATACTTAGGAAGCAGATTCACACGCACCGTCCCCTGGTTTATGGCAAAGGTGACACTCAGTGCAGTGAGGAAAAGATGATCTTTCCAATAAATCAGGCTGGTCAATTAAATATCCATATGGAAAAAAATTGACCCTCTGCCTCCTACCATATGCAAAAATCAATTCCAGATGGATGCAGATTGTGGAAGCATTTAGAAGAAACATTGAAGACAATCTCCGTGACCTTGAGGTAAGCAAAAATGATTTGGAATACAACACAGAAAGCACCAACAAGAAAAGAACAAACAAATTGTGTTAGAATTAAGAATTTCTTCTCATCAAAGACATCGCCAAGAGAGTGAAAAGGTGAGTGGCCCGACTAAAAGAAGATACACAAGGCTGGACAGTTAAGTTTGCAAACTTATCCTAGAGAAAGGGTGAATGAGGTCACCTTCACGGTACTCCTCTTGGAAAGCCATGCACCGTAGTCAGTGCCTGATCCACCCTTCAAAGCCCTTTTTCTGAAATGAGTTCTTGAACTTAATCGTCCAACCTTGTATCTTCTGATAATGTAACTGACAAAAGACTCCTATTTAGGTGATATATTTTGAATTCCTATAAGTCAATAAGAAAAAGTCAGATCCCACAATAGAAAAATGGCTCAAAGTCTTGTATAGTCTGCGCCAGCAGTTCTCAACCTGTGGATCATGATTCTTTTTTAACAATGAAAATACATTGTGGCTTTAGGAAGGTTGAGAACCCCTGGACTATGCACTCCACAAAAGAGATCGGCCAAGTGCCAACAGACATAAGAAATTTCATAATCAGGATATGCAAATCATGAACTATGACACAGAAGTTCTACACAAACGCCAGAACGGCCAGACAGAGCTGCAGTGCCCACTGGCAAGACTGAGAGAAGGCCGACTCCCATTCACTGCCTTGATTCGACTATCAAGTTGGCACAACTACTTAGGAAAACAGGCAGTCTCTGCCCAAGTTCACCATGCACTACCCCGAGGTCTAGGGTTTCCATCAGCTGCATGTACGCACAGCTACTGGACAGAGTTGCATGCACACGGCACCCACAGGCATGTGCTGGGTGCTCACAGCAACTTTATTCAATATAGCCCCAAACTGGGATCAACCCGAGTACCCATCACCAGAGGAGAGGATGACTTGAAGTGTATTCCTACAGTGGGACAGTGCGTAAAAACAAGAGTGCAAGAACAATATGGATGGATTGCACAAACAACCCTGCAAAAGCGGCAAAATCCAGGAACAGAACACCCGTCTGGTTTCATTTATACAACCTTCAATCCAGACAAAACGCTGATCTGTGGTGTTGGAAGTGCGGACAGTGACTGTCCTTGGAAGAGAGGGTGTGTGGCTGGAGGGGCATTGCTTAGAGAATCCACCAAGCTGGGCACTTGGGGGTTATGCCGGTGGAGGAGGCATGTGGAACTTCAGTTAAAGGTACTTTGAAAACAGAACTATGCTGAGGGGCGTTCCCGTTTCGTTTGTTCAAAACAACAGGATCCACAAAAGTGAAGCTGTTCCGGTTCCCTCGACCTCCCAGAGGCAGAAACTAAGCAGAAGTACCTTGGGGCCTGGCCCCTGTCCTCTAGGTGTAAGGGGTCCTTAGGCCTTGGACTCCACGTGGCCTCAGTGGCTGGGCTAAATCTTCCTTCCCTCCCAGGCCCGCGTCAGTTCCCTCCCGGCACCACCAGGTGGGGCTCGATCACAGCGCAAGACACTGTCCTCGCGGCGCCCGCGCGTCTGACCTGCCGCGGGCTGAGCCCACCCACAGCCCGCTCAAGGGGCAGCTGGGCTCTCCAGCCTGAGCCCAGGGTGGAGGGGGGCACGAACTACCCATAAATGTCACTTCACTGAGGCCCCAGTTCTTTCCCCCCAAATGGGGGCAAGAAATGAAAGTTAAAATAATAAGGAGGTATCACTTTATCAGAGTGAGGCATGTTAGAAAGCTGGGGATTGCCGAGGTCGGCACATTAGCAAAAACAAAGGAAGCGCGCGCCTTGCTGGCGGCTCGCGAGGCCACTGCAGCCGCGCCGGGTCAAGTCGCACGCAGACCCTGCAGGGACTAGCAAGCACTTCCACTCCTGGTGTGGAATCCAAAGTCCTGTCCCGGGACAGCCGTGCAAAAACGCTCAACCGGTATTCAGATTCTCTGGGTGCTGATGGGTGCCCACGTCTGGGGAGGCGGACGGGAAAATTGGTGAATGAAAAAAGATGGAAACGGGATGGGAAGTGACACCTCAGCCTGACACAAATTCACGAGGCACACGTGCAACAGGCCACTCAAATGCACATGCTTAGCACGCTGCTCACCAAAACAAATGTAAATGCCCTGGGCCAGCTGGAATGGGATCAAGAAGGAAGGAGAGAAGGAAGGAAGGAAGGAGGGAGGGAGGGAGGGAGGAAGGAAGGAAGGAAAATGTGGGAGAGATACCAAGTTTTGAGGGTTGGCATGAAAAGAAGAATCTAAAGGAAATTTCGAGAATCCCCAGCATTTAGTGGGCATGGTTAAATTATCTTTTCCTTGTGCCTTTATGACTGATATTTATTGAATACCTACTATGTGCCATGCAATGTACCCAGCTCTGTAATTTAATAATGAACATAATAAACCAAAAAGAAAAAATTCCTGCCATCCTAGTAGCCTGAAGCTCATTCTGCAAACTTGGGTGTAAAGGAAATGTCACATACTCCTGAATCAAATCACCAGCAATCTGATTTTGTGGCCCTGTTGTGCCACACTGGAGGAAACCCAATCTCTCCCCTTAATGGGACTCTCTCTCACAGCCCCAGGTTCCAGGACATTCCACACTACTCAGGACACTGGGACATGCAGGACCCCCAGCTGGGGCACCAGTTTACACTGGATCCTGCTGAAATGCTACAGGCCTCAGCCCACAAAGCTCAAAAAACTCCCTGACGATGGGCAGGTTGGCTGGGTCTGCACCCAGCTGCCTGAGGTATTTCTACTAGAAGTCTCTGTGCTGTGATCCTGTTCCTTGCAGGGGCCACACAGCCACCTCTCCCATGAAGGGACTGAGTGCCTCTGGGCTCTGACAGCAAGGACTGGGTCTCCACCCGCTGGGCTGCCACGCCCTTGTTGTAAGGCTTCTGCCTTCCTCTCCCCCAGGTCTCACCCCAGGCTGCCTGCACACACCTTCTGGTCCCCACCTGGTGAGCCAGGGGAGCACCAGGGGAGCAAAAACACAGCTGCTCTCTTCCCAGGAGTCAGGTGATGGAGAGAGAAGCTCAGACACCAGTGAAGATCCCCATAAACAGCCCTGACATCTTTCACATTTCTAGGGTTTTAGTCTATGAAATGAGCAATGGTTGAGCGCTTACTGGATGACGTGTGTTTGGGTGGGTCACTGTTGGGTGGGTGGTTGTTGAAGGTGCTGTGAGGATGCTGATAGTAACAGCCGTGCCTAACTTTAGCAAAAAGGAAAATACATGTGCATGTGTGTGGGTATAGACACGTGTGTGTGTATATATATATATGTGGTGCACAAATATATAGGTGCCTGTGTGTGTGTGTATGTGGATGTGTGTGTCTATTTGTCAAGTGTTAGTAATTTCTGCAATCTATCCAACCATTTTCTGGTCTGGCATCTCTGCTCAAGACACAAATTCCAGAGAGAAGGTCTTATTATTCTCTCCAGGCTTAGGGTCCCCAACACTTAGTCCAGGGAGTCTCAAGGGGTAACTCCACCAAGGCCAACAGCAACC